AATAATTTAGTAAATGTTTACAAATTTATGAATAAAAGATTGTTTTCATATTTATTTCTTTATATACTGGTAAATGATAAATATTACATTGCATTAGTTTTAATACAATTGAATTAGCTGTTAGAATGATTAAATATGAAATTCTTCTTCTAAATAAACACTGAATTCCAGTCGAATTCATTACATTCATTTACATAATATCCTTAGGAAAGATATGAATTCTCTTCCCTCCCCACCAGACATGGGTAAATAGCAGGACAGACGGGGTTCTATAGCCTTAGATGGCAACTGGTCTACCGCAGAAAGAAATGACAACCTACTGCGAGAAAAATCTGCCTCGTCAGTCATGTATCGAAAGATACATGTTTGCCTAAGCGTGTATCATGCATGGCACATAACTGAATAAATAAAGTGCTTAATATTTTTATTTTAAATTCTGAAAAATAAAAAAAAAATATGTAAATTGACTTTCATTATATGTTTAGGTTTCACTGCAATTCTAATTATTGCTTCTGAGAACAATAAACATTGCCGAGCAGTGAAGGTGACTGAAATAACAGCGGTGCCAAGGGAAAAAAACGCCCTTCTAGCATTCCGTTTGCAGTCTCGAAGGTCCAAGTTTTTCGGAAAATCTTCCTATTGCGTTTATAAAAACGGAAATTATTTTTATTTTGAATTAATCATTCAATACGTCTTTCATTTCTACACATATACAACTTATCAATTATATTTTCTTTCTTTTAAAGTTTGTATTTCTTTTAGTCAACACATGGAACACAAACTGGAATATAGAACGCATGGAACACAAACTGGAATATAGAACACATGGAACACAAACTGGAATATAGAACACATGGAACACAAACTGGAATATAGAACGCATAAAACACAAACTGCAATATAGAACACATGAAACACAAACAAGAATATAGAACACATGGAACTCAAACTGTTATATAGAACACATGAAACACAAACTGGAATATAGAACACATGAAACACAAACTAGAATATAGAACACATGGAACTCAAACTGTTATATAGAACACATGGAACTCAAACTGTTATATAGAACACATGAAACACAAACTGGAATATAGAACACATGAAACACAAACTGGAATATAGAACACATGGAACTCGAACTGTTATATAGAACACATGAAACTGTTGAGTTGTTGGGAGTGTTCGCCGCGTGTGTGTATTCGAACAAAGACAAACACAGTTGTAGGGATAAATACTGGTATATTTGTAAGAGGTAATTAACAACAGAGTGATTAGTAATAAGGAACGCCGATTAGTAAGTAACAATAGCAAAATTCTACAGTCCAACGGTATGTAATGGTAACCTGATCTCGACTGCTGTCGCTGAACCTGATCCTTCACCCAACACAACTACTCTCTCTAGCACTGACTTATATCGTAGATGGATAAGTCCATTATCAGTCAGAAGGTGGGTGCGCCCCAACAGAAACACAAACTGGAATATAGAACACATGGAACACAAACTGGAATATAGAACACATGGAACACAAACTGATTTGTATGCGATCTAAGAAAACAGAAAAGGAGACAAGCAGATCACGGTTAGCGCGTCCATAAACCCTTTAGCCGTGGCCTTTACGTAGTGTATCTAACTATTACCTTTTCGTATAATGAGGAGGTACTGACTGAGAGATGTATCTCCAGAAACCAAGTCTTCATATTTCTTGTTTTTTTTTTAAATTTTTTTTTACCTACAGTGTTTAAACAGAAAAACATGTCGAATATCAACATCGAAGAAGCTTGGTGAAAACAGTCAATTAGAAACTGTCTCCGACTGATTGCAAATGCACTGATCAGATCACCTTTGATATTAACACAAATTAAAACAATGATTCTTAGTTGCCCAAGTCACCTTTGAAATCCTAATGATCAATAAATAACGAAACAATATGTATCAAAATAGAATTATTACAGGAGGCGCAAAATTACTCCTACGATACAATCAATTTCAGTTAATACAATTCATTTTTCAAATATTGAAACAGATTTGTTTTTTATATATTTAAAAGAATTTGATGTTAGTTGTTGAACAAATACTCATAATCCATTTCAGAAGCATTTTATTTTATAAGAAGCATTTTATTTTATTCAACACAGAAATATTAGAGATATAACAGAACCAAAATTAGCAACATTATAATTATGTGTGCTTTTCAAGTGATAGCCAAGCTCTGATCAAAAGCTTTAAGTTTTATATAGCTATTAATCTTCTAAAATTTATTTAATAAAAAGAAATGCAAAATTATATAAAAATTAATTAAAGGGTAAATAAAATATAATGCAATAGACTAGGTTTGTTTATTAAAATTTGTTTTAAGGTGAGTGTTCGATAAAAACCTTTATTAATAGACGTTACTAATACGTATTCTTTAAATAAAATACTGCTATAATGAAGCCAGGTGGTTAGTATAAAATTGTATGAATACAATTTGATGTGTAAAATTTGTATATATGAAGCTCAAATTGATGTTGTAAAAAGACCACCAAAATGAGATCTGACGCTTTATAAAAAAGATACATGTATACAATTTGATTTGCAAAACATTGTAAGAAAAAGAAGCCTAAGTTTTATCGTCTTTAGTCAATATTAAATAATGTTTGCAAACAGACAAAAAGATATATTTTTTAATTTTAAAGATTAGTGGAGAAAGTAAATTAGGTACCAATGATATCAAATTTCTGATTCCCATCGGAATCGAACTCTGGCTGTTTAAAAAGTTTGAATTATCCGAAAGCAAAGGAGTTTTGGATTTCACAGGAGAAAGTCGTTAAAAGTTTTGGGGAGCTCAACTTAGATGAAGAAGCTGAAAAAGAATGAAATGGAAGAAGCAGAAGAGAAAAGTTACTACAATTTTAGATGGATATACTATTATCTTTCTATCGTTTGTGAAAGTTTGTCACATAATTGGAAGTATTAACGCTGATTTTGAAAAATTTATGAAAATACGAGATTTATGTCAGTTTTTAATCTCAGTTTATAAAACTGAACTTTTGTCTAATGAAACCCAGCAATGCCTGCGAATTTGCCATCCTTCTTAATTCCATTCGACAGTCAAATGAATCGAAGTAAGTGAACATTTTGTCGATAATTATAATTGTTTTATGAGTCTAACAGAAGTATAATTAGAACTTATTATCTTGACTAATTGCGCACGAAGGAAATTTATTTTTATTTCAGTTTATTTTATTTTATTTATTTATTGTAAATTTTGATTTCTGTACTATTTTTATTTTATGTAATCTAATAAATATAAATCTAAACATAAATTTAATAAATATAAATTTCTTCAAATTTCACAAAAGAATAAGAGTCTTCTGCCATTTTGTTGGCACCATTCATAATACTCGGGATAAGAGATTTGATTGACTTTGTTCTTTATTTTTTTTTTGGCATTTTGTTTCATTCTTCGAAAGCAAACTACACTAATGTTACTAAATTTAAAGATTCTTTTTAATGAACACTAAATTTTCGCCAACAATTTTCTATTGGATTCAAGTTCAAATTTCGATCTTGTTGTCTTTGAATAAACTTTGCACCAATCCGTTACACAATTACAGTCGTGTTTCGATGCGTATCAATGCATCTCATCAGGAGATTGTAAATTACTGGCGAATGAACGATTTATTTAGATTTAATAGCAAAATACAACCTCTTTTTATAAAAAAGGGGGATATAAAGTTTGAGGATTTACTCTGATCAACCATACAAATATGACCTACGTAAAATTTAAACTAAGTGAAGAACTAAGTTAAATTTAATCAAATACTTTGATACGCATTGAAACACGACTGCAATTCTGTAGCGATTTTACATGTTTTTGGTGTAATATCCTAAAATAAATTATACATACATATATATATATATATATATATATATATATATATATATATATATATATATATTGTCGTCGGCACCAGTCGTGTCCGAGTATCGGGTTCTGTCAATCTTTTAAGTCCTATCTTCACGGTTGATGTTTATGTTTGATATGACTTGCAAGGCCCAGTCGGTGGTGGAATAGTCGCGGACAGTGCCCACAGGGGAGGGGGGGGAGGGGGTTAGTTCACATCGCTCTCTTCTCTTTTGTCGCTTTGTCTCTTCATTCTCCCTCCTCCTTTCCTCGAAGTCTGCGATGCCATCGAGTTTTGATCTCCTCCACGTCGTTCGGTCCCTGGCAGTTTCTTCCCACGAGGACGAGCTGATGTTGGTAAGTGTCAGGGTGCGCTTTAGTTGGTCCTTGTAGCACATTTTGGGTGCTCCTCGTGATCTGGTCCCAATGGCTAGCTCGCCATATAGGATTTTCTTGGGGAGCCTGGAAGGATCCATCCTGTGGGCGTGTCCTCCCCATCGGAGGCGGTGGTAGATGATAGTGGCCTCGATGCTGCTCACTGAGGCTCTGTCCAGCACTTCTGTGTTGGTGATGTAGCTCTCCCAAGAGATGTTAAGAATTTGCCTTAGCTTCAATTGCTGGAAGCGTTCTAGCATTTTCCCTCGCTTCTATGTAGGGTCCATGTTTCGCAAGCGTATAAAAGGGAGGACTACTGCCCGGAAGACCATGATTTTGGTGACCGCTAGTGACTGGAGGTCCTCTGCAGTCTGACCTGGGGTGGCATTGTCGTCAGCGTACTGCAGCTCCCGTACCGAACGCATGGTGGTCTTGGATCTGGCACGAAGTCGAGCGAGGTGGAAAACTCCTCCACCCAAGCGGTAACGGAGGTCAATTGAGGGTGTGTCTGGTGGTATCTCATTTAGCATTGCTGCTGTGTAGAGAGAGAAACACGTTGGTGCCAGAACACACCCCTGCTTCAGGCCACCAATAATGGGGAATGGGTCCGAGAGGGAGTTCTGGTGGCATACTCTCCCCACCATTCCGTCATGCAGGGCGCGCACCAGGGCGACAAAGTCAGGTGGGCAGCCAAACCTAGTAAGGACTGCCCACATAGCAGGTCGGGGTACTTTATCGAAGGTCTTTTTTAGGTCCCAAAAGATGAATATTGCGGGCTGTTGCTGTTCGAGGCTCTTCTCTGTCGATGGTCCAGCGGAAAGGTCGAAAACCACACTGGGACTCTGGCAGGACATCTTCGGCGAGGACGAGGAGACGGTCTAGGGGAATGCGGGCGAACACCTTGCTGGCGATGCTTAGCAGTGATATTCCCGGTTCTCTACGGTCTCCCATTTTGAATATTATCACGACCGTTCTATCGCGGAAGTCTCTGGGGAGGGTTTTTGTCTCCCAAATCTTCAATATAAGGAGCATGAGACGGTTCCTCATCTCGAGGCCACTGTGGGTGAGAAGCTCCAGTGGGATGTTGTCGGGTCCTGGGGCTTTGCCGGGTCTCATGCGTTTAAGGGCTTTGTTGAAGTCCTGGATGGAGGGTGGTAGTGCCATCCAGTGACGAACAGGATGCTGCGGGGTCATTCGCAGGAGATCGTCTGGCGTGTTGACCTGGTCGTTGAGGAGGTTTTCAAAGTGAGAACTCCACCTTGCCAGAATACCCTCCCTGTCGGTGGTGCTTGTAGCCCCGTCCACGTTCTTTAGTCCGCCCACTGATGAGCGTGTGGGACCAAAAATTTCCTTGGTTGCCGCATAAAAGCTGCGCAGGTCTCGTTGGTCAGCGTAGCTTTGGAATTTCTGCTGCTTTTCTTTGCCACCAGTTGTTCTGGGCTTCTCGTATGTCTCTTTGGCAGTTATACTACGGCTTGTTTATGAGCACGTTTATTGGTAGCTGTAGGCTGGTTCTCCATAGTCAGACGTGTCTGACGTTTAGTTTCAATGAGAGGCGAGATGAACCCGTAACTCTCATCGAACCAGTTCTGTCTTTTCTTGTTTTAGTAGCCGATGGTTTCCTCTGCTGCACGGGTCATGGCTTCTCTGAGAGTGGTTCAGTGGTGCTCCACAAAGGCCTGATCCACTGGGTCTGCAAGGTGGCGTTCGCAGGTTTCTTTAAAATTCTGTGCCAGCTGTGGGACGCGGAGATTGCTACAGTCAAAGCGTCGGTATGGTACGCTGTCCGGTGTCCTTCTATGTGGTCGAAGAGTTCTCGTAGTCTGGAGATCAGGAGCCTGTGATCCGTCCAGCAGCTGTCCGCTCCTGGCATGGATCGGGTGATGCGGACGTCCCGTCTGTCTCTGTCTCTGGTTAGGACATAGTCCAGAATGTGCCAGTGTTTGGACCGGGGGTGCCTCCATGTTGTCTTCTGTCGGTTCGGGTGTTTGAAAATAGTGTTGGTCACAACAAGTTAATGTTCCGCACAGAGACCCAGTAGGAGTTGACCGTTGGCGTTACAGTTTCCGATACCGTGGTGGCTAATTATTCCCTCCCACAGGCGATGATCCCTGCCTACTCGGGCATTAAAGTCACCTAGTACAATGAGCTTGTCGTTGGCGGTCACTCTCTGAATGGTATGGTCGAGCTGGTTGTAAAATGCAGCTTTGTCTTCATCGGGTGAGGTCAGAGTCGGGGCGTATACTGCAATCAGGGTGATGTGCCTGCCCCGCATGATGGGAATGCGGACATTCATTGAGCGCTCACTGATGGCCGTGGAAGCGAGGTTGTGCTGCTGCACGACCTGGGACCGGATGGCAAAGCCAACGCCATGTATGCGCGGCTCCTCCGGGGCCTTCCCCTTCCAGAAGATGGTATAACCTGTTCCAGCTTCCCTGATGTTGCCCTCCTCGGGCAGTCTAGTCTCGCTGAGGGCCGCCACATCTATGTTGAATCGGGAAAGCTCCTTGCAGACGAGGGCTGTGCGTCTTTCAGGGCGGGTAGTGTCGCGCCACGTTTTGGAGGGTGCGGATGTTCCAAGCACCAAGGGTAAGGATATTTTTATTGTTTAAACTTTTTGCATGTGAACTGGCCAGATGTGTCGCCGTGTCCGATGTTTGCCTCACCTTTTCTAGGGGATTCCCCATGTGGGGTGGGCTGGGGTGGTCCTCAATAGGCCAGCCCAATCCCGGATCCAGCCTGCCGAACTCGGGTGTCACGGTAATGTCACCAGAGAGCGACCATCTTTGACCCGCCGCCTGTGTGCAGTCGTGGGCTGAAGGCTTCCAACGTTCCAGGCCTGCCCCCGTTGCTCGCGGTGCTATCGCCACAGGACTTGGGTGGTGATGGTGGAGGTGAAAGGATGAAATAGGTGAAAGAAAGAAAAGAAAAGAAAAAGAAACGACAGAATGCCAGTTGCTGAGGATATTGTTTTAGGTGGTCGTGGCTGCGCGACGGCCACGCTCACACACATTCGGCCAGCATCGCTTCCACCGCGGCTCAAGAGAAACGAGACAGGCGACCTCCATGATGCTGGTTGCATCGGGCTGCCGGGTTCACATTTTTTTTCAAGGCCCGCCTTATCGCCTGCCCGACAGGCGTTGCCTTCCTCCGACATCGCTACTAAGCTCCGCCGTTGGGGTCTTGTTGGTTTTATATCGGAGTTTTCCTTCACCTAGCCTTTGCCTCAAGAAGCAAACCCTACAAGGTAGCAGGGGAGGATGATTATACCGCCAGTCCACTCGGTCACTGGCATGCATTTAGTGAGAAACAGAGGGGACCACGGGAAGGTAGCAAGCAAGCGGTTAGGGGGCTTAAGTCTAGCTTAGCCTGAGACGCATGCACCCAATCACCCCCCTCCTATATATATATATATATATATATATATATATATATATATATATATATATATAGTCATCCAAAGAGAGACTGTTTTGCTGTATCACAGCTCATCAGTGTGGCTAGACGTCCGGTTGCCTCAAGCTAGGATCGAAACCTGGTTGAAGTGGCGTCAGTCGGAGAAATTACTCCTAAGCTATTGGAGGAAGGTGAATTTTAGCGTATTTATTTTTAGACAAATATACCAGTGACCGGGAGAACTCGATTCATAAGAAGAGTCTTGCATTAGTAACAGTAGTAGTCACTCTTTACAGGCTTTCTCCTCAGAGAGCGCAAATGGAATTTCTATAGGATCAGCGCGTCATCATCATCGTCATCGTCTTCACATCAAGGCTATCATCATCATCATCATCATCATCATCATCATCAATCATCCCCAGAGCATCATCATTATCATCCTTTTCACATCAACGTTATCATCCTCATTCTCTACAGATAAATGCCGTCGTGAGCAACATCATCGTCGTCGTCGTTGTTGTCTTCACATCAAAGTTATCATCATCATCATCAACGTCATCAACAGATCAGCATCAACGTTATTATCATCATCATCCTAAAATCAACGTCATCATTATCATCATCATAATCAACAGATCATCCTCATCATGATCGTCTTCTACAGATCAACGTCATCATCATCATCCTCATCATCATCAACTTCATGTTCACATCAACGTATCAGATCATTTACTTATCGAATAATTGTTTCAAACTTTAACGATATATTTTCCTTGGTGTTCATCTTGAATTTTTTGTTCGAATCTAAAATAAGCCGTTGCTAGTGACACTGATCTTTCTGTTGTAAATCTTGGTTGTTTTTCTTCTTCTTCTTTTCATGTTATGTTCGCTTCGTCTCCGTCTCTGTATTTCTATCTTGACCACAGACTAATGCATTCCATTCCCATATCCAAATGATTTTCTTCCTATGCCTCACCTCCGACCAAATCCATCACTTCACCTGCTTTCCTTCTCACATTGCTTTTCCTTCTCATATCTTTTGTGTTTATAGACGAATCTTTGTTTCGATTACTACACGGTTTCGGCTTTGGAATTGTTTTTGTTTATCGTTCCTCAACCGACGCCATTATTCGTTAGAAGTTGTTTCTGAATTGATGCGTGTGTGTGAACGTATGTATATGTGTGCGCGTGTGTGCGTGCGCGTGTGTGTGTGTGTGCGATGTTATTGTCTTTGTCACTCTTCAGTCGGCTTCGTATTACAATTTCTCCCTCTTATTCAGGGAACAGGGGCTTGGGAAGGGACTTTTGATTATTTGCAGGTTTTTATTTTAATAATATCTTTTTTCATTCCCCGTTCATTGTTTTTTTTCACTCATTTTTTCTTTCTTTCTCCTTCTCCAAACACTTTACGCCGTTATAAATTCTTAGCTTTTCATTTTGGCTTTCTTTCCTCCCCATCAGTTGTCAAAGAGACAAATCTTTCTTTCTTTCTTTTTTCTTTCTTTCCTTCCTTCTTTCTTTCTTTCTTTCTTTCTCTCTTTTTCAGTCTTGCCTTTCTTTCCTTCTTCATAATGCCTAAGATTGTTTTATTTCTTTCCTTTTTTTCTCAATAATAAACTTATTTTTCTTTCTTTCTTTTCCTGTTGCAGTTTTTATCCTTGTTTTTTCTTTCATGCTTGAGCATTTATTTTTCGGCTTTTCCTTCTTCCCCCGATCCTTTCTTTCCATTATATCATTTTCTTCTCATTCTTTCTTTCTTTCTTTCTTTCTTTCTTTCTTTCTTTCTTTCTTTCTTTCTTTCTCCTGTAAGTTCTTTTTCTCTTTCATAAATTTCTTTCATTTTTCTTTTTCAATTTAATTCAGTATATCAGTAACTTTTCTCCTCTTCACCCTGGTTACTTCTCTCTTTTTTGTCTTCCTTTTCATCAATTCATATCTGATTTTTTTTGTATTTACGTATATTTCATGGCCTTTTCTTTCCCCATTTCTCTCTTTTTCTTTTACTCGATCTTTTCACTATTTATGAAGCTTTTCTTACTTCTTTCTCTCCGTTTTTCATTCTCTCTTTCTTTTTTATCATTCACTCTGTGCTTGTATATCTCTTATTTTCTTACTCTTTCATTTTCTGTTTTTCAGTATCTCTTTCCAGTTTCGGCATTTTCACCATTATCTTTCTACATTTCTATTTTCTCTCTTTTACGTTTTTCTATCACCCTTTCCTTTTCATTCACTTTCTCTTACTATGTTTTCCTTTCTCCCCTTGCTTTCATTTTGAAATCACCACTTTCCTACTATTTTCTCACTTTGTGTCTTTTAGTAATGCATTTCGGGATACCTACGAAAAAATCCCTAATCGTAATTAATATTTTTGGCTTCTTTCCAACTATTGTTTCTGGCATTAATTTTGTTATTGATTAGGTTATTTTTTAGTCTTAATTTTATTGTTTTATTATTTTATTCCTTTTTTTAAAAAATTTTATGCTATAATTAAACCAGCAATGAGCCTGGTTGGGGGTTGGTGGAATTGTGCATTTCTAACAGGCGTTCAAGTTTATATAACGTTAGAATGTTGATTGCTGATTTTCAAGGTAATCATGCCTCCTGCAATGCAATCTTATTTCATCATTTTCTTTAGCCTATTGTCTTCGTAAATAAATATCTATATAAATTACGCTGTCATGTGACCTGCTTCATGGCAGAAGTAGTTGAGAACAACATACCGGTTCCAATAATTGATGTCGGGCATCTATTATGTGGATGTTGATTTTCAAGGAAGGCAAACCATCTACGCTTCGAAT